AGCTAGATGTTCTGGCGCCCGTTGGCAAGAGTAGAAAATTGCGCCCCCCCCCCAAATTATAATTATTTTGAAATTAATTGATATTGGTTTGATTTGGTTTGGTTTGAGGGACTTCATTAAAAGTTGCTCAATTATAAGATCCGAACGTCTGATGAAAAAATGGCCAAATTCAACTACACGCTCATATAATGTAGGATTTATATCCTTTAGGTAAAAGACATCCTGCAAAAATAAGTTTTAAGACATAATTGTTATGGCCTGATGCTGTGAAGAAGGGTATCATGGCCTGTAGCCTAAATAAACTATTATTAGGCCTATATAATATTGTAACATTAGTGCCCAATTTTTAGTAATAATTAGTTATAAATATAAATAAATTTAAACTCACCAAACTTGAAAGAGCAACACTGTCACAACTTTCCAACAATATAAATATATAATATTGTAACATTATTGCCCAATTTTTAGTAATAATTACTTATAAATTTAAACTCACCAAACTTGAAAGAGCAACAGTCACAAATTTCCAACAATTAGAAGTTGCCAAGCGATAGAAACTTTTCAAACTATAGAGGGCCAGCTTCGGAATTTTTTGATAGTGAATTTTCTAATTATAAAATATTGTTTGGTGGTTTATATTAAATATTTGGATGAATAAAGTTTAAATGAATGAATAAATGTATGAATGAATGAATGATGTAAATGACAACATTTTGTAGTGATTAGCTGTCATACCTTTTCATTGCATTTTATTCTAAATATTTATAATTATTTTGGGTGAAATATTAAAAAAATAATTCTTATACCATCCAGGCCATATGAAAATTAAAATAATCGCTATATAAGATTCGATGTTTCTCACTGGACATTTTAGAAATGTACACAATCAGAAGAACCAGGCATATTAATTATATAAATCTATGTTGTTTTTTTTTGTAAACTGCGTATGCTGCATTAAAATTGTAACATTGTTGTACTATTCAGCACGCGGTGGTTGACAAACGTTATGTAGCAGAATTACAATCAAAAACAAAAAGGCATTGAACCAGTGCATTTCATGTACGGTAGTGTACAGTATTATTTCTTTTCTAAAGTTATCTACTGTACTGCTATCGAGCCATATTTACTGTACATTCATCTGAGACTAAAATATAAGGGGACTAACTAACCCAATCCATCCATCAATCAACATGGCTTTGTATATAAAAATGTTCAGTAAAGATAATAATATTAAAACAAATTAAATAATGACGACAAAAAAAAAATCCACACACACAGAAGCTTCTTTATACTGTAATTGAAACATAATGATCAGATTTAATTTTCAACGGCATACATGTAACATACATCTTTTATTTAAATTCAACACAAATAGCTTGAATCTACACAGGGCCACCAAGAGAGGGAAGGAGGAAAAGATCCCCAGGGCCCTAGTTTACCAGGGGCCCATAAAAATCGCAGGTAGCATTTCCCATATATTTTTCAAAAATAATTACTATTATGGGCCCTCAATAATGGCATGGGTCCCCTAATAATGGGTTCCTCCAGATGGACAGGGCCCTATCAATCGTACAATCTTTCTCGTGCTTCACGCTCGTAACTGGGGGCCCACACCAACCCTTGCGCCTGTTACAGTTTCCCCTCTTGGCGGCCCTGAATGTACATAAGGAATTATACATACAGTATACACATCTTGTGTAGACCTTTTTGTATTTGGAAAGGCCATAGCATCAAAAATATTTCATATCTTGCAAAAAGGTTTTTCAAATGGAGGATAAAAGGATTTTTTAACTTTTAATGTGTCAGCAACCTTTTAATAATACATACAGCATTATAAATGAAAACTAAAGATTGACAAAAAAGTAATACAATTTTATATTTAAAATATATTGCTATATAATTAATTTAGTAATAGTTGTAATAATATGTTCTCAATGTTATGCATAATCTATTAAAATTGTTACTCTTTATTTTACAATTGTTTTTTTTTTTTTTTTTATATTGCACATATTCTTCCAACATTATCCTCTTCATTTACTTTTCTTAATAATATTCAAGTTTACAATACAAGTGGTAACAAACTTCAGCACCAACTCCTGTATACCAAACCCTGTAGGCCTACAGTTACCGTTTTTTAATCATATGAAAAATCTACTCATGACTATCCTATCCTAACTTACATTCTGTGATATTTTGTTTTGGTTTCTTTATTTCTGGTAGGGGACGTCTACGCACGGTTGGTACTGTTCCATCTGCATTTATTTACTGGGTCAGGATATTCAATAGTTTGACCATTCTCCAATAACAAAATGCTATGAAAAAAAGTATATTGTATTTATTAATGATTTGTACGAAACACAAAAATCTCTTGCATATTAGAGGCAGCTAGGCTAAGGATTTAAATACATTAGGGCCTACTGTCATTGGCCTAATCTAAGCTGCCTAGGGAAGGCCTGCATTGTCATTACTGTTGAATATTTTCCTGACAATCCATTTATAGATCACAATTTATTAGAAAAATTAATATCAGGCCCTGTCCTGAGATCAGGCGCGATCCATCGCGGAATACAGCTGCTGAGGTCGAAAATCTTAAAATGTAGGTCTAGGCATTGTGGCTAGGCCAACCCCGAGACGAGACCCGATTATTTTTGTAGGCCTCACTTAACTTACATAAATGAAATCCTACCGTTGAGCTGTATGCTTGTTTACCCTGTTGAAATATAGGACATGCCGTCTTCCACAAGCCATATTCCACCGTAGGCCTAGACAATTTTTTTTCTCTTTTTTTACCTCCATGGTCATATCGACGTCGCTTCTCGCACTGCACAAACTCGTAACTCGTGCGTGTTTGTGTGGAAAACGTGTTTGTAAACAGCGCGTATATGCCTTGTTCTAATTGGTTACTTGGAAGTTTGATTGACAGCTCGGAAAGGTCTATTCAATTATGGGATTTTAACATATCATTGTAAATATCATATACTGTATAATCATATTTACCTAACTTTGGAATTAATTAATTAATCAGTGACGCCGTGCTGTATTATTTCGAGAAGATAAAGTGAGGACGATTCTTTATTTTTTCCCGTTACGATTATCTTTTTGTTTTGAAAGTCTATCATCTAGGCCTATACCTATAGTTGCTAGAAGCCTACTCTATATTGCATGAGGCTCCTAAGAGTCAACACTGCAGAGGAGAAAGGTTGGTTGTGCAGACAGAGTAGGTTTGTGAATCGTCGGCGATAATATGTTAA